CTTGGTTAACACCAGTTTCTGTCCAGTTTCTGTGCGACGTCGTGTGAAAATGCGAGGCACAAATCCAATTTCTGTTTGGGATTTGTGTGGATTAACCAGCAGATTTGCCCCGTGTGATAAGGTCCTATGAAAGGATGGAAGGCTGAGACAACCTTGGAACCCTGCACTTGGGTTGGTGGAAGAAAAGTTAGGAAAGGGAGCCCCCTCCCCTCCTGTGTAGCTGGGCACATGCTTGTTCACCATTACTCTCCTCATGGGAGTACAGACAAGGGATGGCACCAAGGTCAGGAAACATTTAACCAGCATTTAACCATTTTATGCAAATTAGGATTTTGTAAACCCTTTGGCCTGATGAAGAAGCACGCTACTCCCCCAGTCTGAGAGCCTTTGCCAACTTTGGGAGCTCTGATGGGGCAGTGGTTAAACCCCAGTCCTGCAGCCATAGGGTTGTGAGTTCGATCCCAGGCAGGGCTCCAAGGTCCACACAGCCCTCTATCCTTTCGTAGGTTGGTAAAATGAGTACCCAGCTTGTTGGGGGCAATTGGCTTACAGATTGTAAACTGTATGTAGAGATCTTGTAGCACCTTTGAAACTCTCTGAAAGAAAGAAGTTGGCAGCATGAGCTTTCGTAGACGAAGCCTATAAAAGCTCATGGTGCCAACTTCTTTCTTTCAGAGAGTCTTAAATGTGCTACAATCTCTCTACATACTGATTTTACTACAGACTAACACAGCTATAGCTTTGAATTGTAAAGACTGTACACTTGTCCCTCCACCTTTGCGGCTTTGACTTTTGCAGATTTGTTTATTCACAGATTTTATTTATTAATATGTTCTTTTAGGAATATCTGGGTCCTCCAACACAACTCTGTGGTTAACTTTAACCAAAGGCCCCCTGAAGGACCTAGACTAGAGACTCCTAGAGAGGACACTTTGCTGGGCATCTGTAGCTCCTCTGGCGCAATTCTATGGTCAACACCTGGCAGATTGATGTTGAACCCAGAGTTGCACTGGAGGATCCAGAGA